TTCCTTCTCCTGGCTCCATCTCTTTCCCAGTTAGGTGCCCTGCACCTGGCATGCTGTTGAGGCTGTTACCGTTACTTTTGTCTCACCTGGAGCATTCCTGAAGCTTTGGGAGTTGCTCCTCCCAAGGCTTTGATGTAGGCGATAGCTAAATTTCGGTGAGGAGCGTCAAACTAAAATATACTACTGTATTTAGCGTTTTGCCCACCCCTTTTTTCTTCAGCCACACCAACCTTGAAGACAGTCCGGATACTTCAACTGGTTCAGAATAGAGCCGCCAGGTTGTTAACAGGGACCCGCAGGTATGGGCACATAACCCCAGTCCTTTTCCACCTACACTGGTTACCAGTTGAAGCCTGGGCCCAATTCAAGGCGCTGGTATTAACCTATAAAGCCCTGAATGACTTAGGGGCCGGTTACCTGAAGCAGTGTCTCCTTCCATACATGCCTGCCCACCCCTTAAGATTCAGGCAGAGGCCCTTCTCCGGGTGCCCTCCCTGAAGATTAGGAGGGTGGCTACCCGGAGAAGGGCCTTCTCTGCGGTGGCGCCCCGACTGTGGAATTCGCTCCCCAGAGAGGCTCGCCTGGCACCGGCACTTTATTCTTTTCGGCACTAGGCCGAAACCTTTTTATTTCCCCAAAGTTTTAAGCACTGACTGTTTTGTTTAGGGATTTGTTGTCAGTCAAGTTTTTAGGACACTGTGTTTTATTTTACACAGTTGTCTCGTTAAACCATCCCGAGACTTCAGTAAGGCCACGGTCTAGAAAAGGTTTAAATAAATAAATAAAACAGCTTTGCTGAATGGGAAGTGGCCCTCAGATCAGCAAGGTTACCTGGAGGGACAGGTGAGCATCGTGTGTTCTTTTACGACAGGTGCAAGGGAAGGGTGGAAAAGGACTGAGAGGCAGCCGAGGGGCATAGGGCTACTGAAAAAAACAATATATCTGTCATCATCAAGGTTTCTTTTTATTAAATCACATCTTAAACCCTAGAAATGTCCATTGGTTTGGGAAATGATGCTTGAATACAGAGAAGTGAGACAGAAGATGTGAGGCCCAAACTGAAGAGGCAGACAGAGGACAATCTGCTTGGCAATGAACCAACACCATCTTACACTTACGGAGACTAAAGAGAGACAGCTGAGTAAAATTAAGAACCAGCTTGCCGGTTCATACCAAAATCCAGCACTTGGGATTTGGATGGAGGTTCTGGATGCTTACAAAGAGGATGGAGACAAAGAGTCTTGGCGCCACCCAAGACTTGTGGGGTCACACACCTTGCCCCCGAAGTCGAGAACAACGACTGAAACTGGGAAGAAAGCTGGACTTAGAGCTGGGATACCGCAGTTGGGGGTCGATCATTGCTGTGGGGAAAGAGAAACCCCAGCAAGCAGACCAGGAGGGCTAGACTCTGCCTCTGGCTTGAGGGTTTCCACCAGCCAACTAAATGGGTTGCCTCCTTGCCTCTTCTGACCACAGTGGGGTATCAGCACTGAAAAGGACGCTCATCCTCCACAGGCCGAAGGTCCTGAAGGGCATTCCTGGCATCTCCAGCTGTCCTGCACAGGACCTGGAGAGCAGACTTTATGGATCACACTGGACTAGATGGCCCAGTAATTCAATTTACGGATCACACTGGACTAGAGGCAGCCGTTTGCTCAACTAGATGCATTTTATTATGGTGCAACTTCCTTAGAAGCAGAGAACTGGAAGGAAGCACTCAGCTCCCACCTCCAAAGCTCGTGGCGCTTGGACGCCGCCGTGTCACATTCAGTCCACGCTTTTCCTTTCCCCATGTGAAGAGGGCACTTCTGGGCGAGTCTGGCTGCACCAGCCGTGACTGTGGATGGCCTGAATTTATCCCAGCCCACCCTGGGCAACAGCTAGAGGCATTGGCTCAGAAGCCCCAAAGTCCCAGTGCTGAAAAGTAGCAGGTTCACATTGGATTAATGGTTGCAGCAACATAGATGGACACTGGGAACGGCTCCCACTGCCTGCCAGGACCCCTGCCTCCCAATTTTTAGCTTCTGGGGGTTTCTAAAGGCTTACTATTTTTACCCAGGAGGTTGGCAACCTCTCAAGCAAAGGGCTGCCCCTCAGCACCATCTTTATTTGGGTTCAGAAGTGTGGTGGTGTGTTTTGGAGTGCAGACCAAACTTCTGTCCTCGGGCAAGTTGCTTTTATTTTAGCTCCATCGGTTCGACCTGCAGGGAAATCCGCGTTTTGCAATGGGTTGGCGTCCACCCAAGGTATTGGGAAAGCTTTCTCAAACTTCCTAAAAGGTGGCGGACCACTGCCAGTTCCTATCCAGTGTGCTCTGAATCACTCAGGATTTGTTTTGATGTTGTGTGTGGTGTCTATTTTTCAAAACTAGACAGCCTGCAGGGTTTTTATTGTCTATAAAGCGCTTAGAGTTAATTAAGTCAGATATGACTAAAGATCAATTCTAAGAAGTGAGCTATATTTGATGCTGGACACACAATAAAATGGACCAAAAGGACCTGATGGGGACAACAGAGTGCTGACATACCCGAGAAGGACACGAGGATTACAGCAAGGCCCAGGAGAGTTGGGGAATGTTTAAACTGCACACCTGTGGCTTTTTTGTGTTGTGATTCAACAGTGTTATTAGTGGACTTTGCACCAATGACATAAAAATCAATTCTGCCCCGAAAGGAACACACATTCTGTGCCAAGAAAAGCTGAATTTTGCAAGCTGTACAAATTAGGCACTATGATCCCGTATCTGTATATTTGCTCAAAACTTAAAACCTGCTTTTTTCACTGGTCATTCAGAGATGAGAGCTACACAGAAGTCCCACCTCCCTTAAAACTCACACTCAGAATCTCCCAAGTCTCCCCCCACCCAACTTCAGAGTCATCAGCAGTCACTGCCTGCAAAACCTCACTCATATTTTCCCATCCTTAAGGACTAGAAACTTGGTCCTCTCCTTTTAAAGAAAATGGGCCAAATTCCAACTGCTCTGGGGTAAAGAACCTTTTTTGGACCTGAGCCTCAATTAGTTCATTTCAGGAAGGATTTGATGACCGCTGAAAAAAGACTCAGGGGAGAGAGAGCCACAACATATTGCCAAAGAGGCAGCAGAAGACGGAGTCCATAAAAACATGTGGAGTAAGCAGCTACGTCCTAAAGAATGGAAGGTTATGGTGAGGAAATATCAGAGAAAGCCAGAAAAGTGCTGTTCGTTGTATCCACTGAGAAAAGGCGTTCTAATTGCTTTCAGTACAGGGAGGTAGAGCTGGTATAACCTTGAGGAAACACCTTCCGACCGCAGTCGGTTTATGAACAGAGCGCAGTGCCCAGGAAGGGATGCACGCTTTCCCCGGCCTCGGATGTTCTCAAAAGCATCCCGGGTGCTGCTGAGGCCCTTCGGATGGCAAATCGTTCTGCAGAACAGGCCGGGCAGCATCGAAAAGACCTTGTGCACACAAATTTTTCCTCCCCTTTGGTCGTCAAGGAAGAAAGACACTGCGGGCAATGTGTTAATTATGCACAAAACACGAGATAATTAAGCACGAGATAAATACTATTACTCTATCCTGCAATGGCTCTGAGCAAGCAGAGCTTTAAAAGAATCAATAAAAGTACTTCTGTGTTCAAACGCACACGGAAAGCAACGGTGGCCCCTGTGAGGCCACCTGCCAGGTGTGACCGGCCACAGCCAATGCTCAGGTGTGCGTACGGGCTCTTCTCCTTCCCCAAACGCACGGAGCGAACAGCCCTCACGCACGCTGGCTGCTCAGCCCGTGAGGGCACGGTGCCACATATGTGACCGGCTGGCTTGTGCACGCTTCCTCGGAGACTCGCCTTCTGCATGGAGAGCCACCGATGCAGGGATGATTCCCTCCTCTCTGAAGCAGCCTTGGTCGGTGGGGAAAGGATCTGGCGCCCCTCAGTGGCTTTTAAAGACTCTCACACGATGTTTCACTTTGCTTACGCCGAACCAGAAGAGATGGCAAAGAAAGCAGCGACTGGCATAGCATTGTTGACTGTTTGCCAAAAAGCTGCCCCTGTCCTCAAATTATTAGTCCCAGTTAATGGCAGGTTTCTTACAAAGACATTTTCCCACTGGGGACTGTAGTGGTCTGTTGTTACTAGATTTATCCAAAAGTCTTCAGGATTTTTTCCCCAAAAATGTCCTTAAAAATTTAACCTCACAATCAGGAAAATCCCAGGATCTTAATAACATGACCCTGGGATTTAATGAGGCTTTTTTTCAAAGGGATGGGGGCATTCTTTGAATGCCATGGCTGAATTCACAGGGCCTTGCATTGCCTCGAACCCAGCGTCTGGGAGCAGTTTCACAGCACAGATATAGACAGGAGATGCAATCTGAGGCTCCTTTTCCTGCACAAGCGATGCAGGGAACCGAGAGACCGATGGGGACCGCCAGCAAAACAGACGGCTTCACAACTGGGTTGTGCTGCAGTGAGGTTGCCACTTATCTGGCTGAAGTTTACCACAGGAAAGATTTGTAGGGTATACTTGCTTTATAGGGTATCCACAATCATCTTAGGAAAGAGGAAAAACTGGTGTCGGACTAAAATAGTCCCGTCTCTCACGTACGCCACTTCTTGGAAAGAACGACACTGTAGACTCTACCCAAACCCACCGGGGGGACCACACGCCTTTGTCAGAGAACGCAAATGTCCTTCGGTATTCTTGTCACCTGAACAGGCAGACGACAAAGGAGCGCTAAGCGCAGCTGCGTCACAGTATTTGTTTCAGAAGATCCTAAGCGCAAATTTGGATCGTCCAAATGTCACGTACCGGCTGGCAATGGACACCCCCAACACCAAGCCGGATGGAGGCTGGTTCTGCCAGCCAACCCTTAGCGGATTTTCTCCCGCTGCCAAGGGACCACGCACACGCGGAGGACCTCTCCCCCGAAATCAGCCCGCCACTGCTGGCCTTCCCAGCTCTGCGGAGCAGTCAGGGTATCGAAAACTGCCGTCCGAAGGAAGAAACAGCAAGGCTTAAGTGCAGCAAGACAGAGTCTTTTGAACATGGCTATTCAGTTCTGGTTTATAAATGCAAATGGACTGAGGACCCTCTGGGCCACACGGACGTATTTCTAGACTAAAAACGGCCGCGAAACCCTATTTTTTCCAAGCTGCAAAGGAGGAGATTGCTGCTAAGTTGAAACAACAACACACACCCTAAGCTACTGTTAAAGGTGTCCCTCCATAACTCATCCAGAAACTGAATCAAACGCTGCAGACGTGCTGGTCTGCAAAAAAGCACGTGAAAAACTCCAACCTGCTGGTGATTACATGTGTGTGTGTGTGTGTGTGTGTGTATAGATATGTCTACAGAAGATATATTACTATTTCAAATATATTTTCGAGCAGACCAAAAATATCTCATCTATTGGTTACTGGTGTGTGTTTACGGCAACAACTAATTAAATATTCCTTCTATTCATATAAAAATTGCACTTATTCCCCCCCCCCCCCATTAAAAGAGATAAGTCTGAATTTTCCTCCAATCCATGCGGGAGTTTCAGACCACGCATCTCAGCGTGCGCAGGGCGGAACGACGCGTCCCCTGCCTCCGAAAGAGAGGCGGCTCCTGCGCATGCATCGGTGGCATTCTGCGCACAGGCACTAATGCTCACCCCATTCCACTGGTTCATCCAGTAGGACAAGAAAAGGGGAAGCCAAAAAAACATAAATCAGTTACGCGTTTGTTGTTAAGAAAACCTGAGCTTGGAATGTCTTTTTTAAAGGACCCGAGGTGGTGTTTGGCCCTTTGTGACCTCAGCGAGCTCAGTCCGTGAGGATCGGCCGCCCCTTGGCTCCTCCCCAGCAGTCCCTCCGTCCACCCGGCATCCGTGCTCGTCTGAGCCATGCCTGGGAAGCAGGCAGCCCCCTCCAAATCTCTCGCCGGCCGGCAACGTGCCCTTCAGCGCGACTGCGCTGCCGCCCCGGCCGGGCTCCCAGGGGCCTCTCCGCCTGTGAAAAGGTCTCTCTCTCCCCCTCTCTCGCTCTTTCTCTGTCTACATGAAGCTCGGCCACATGGGCACCGAGAAATTCCACCATGCTCGGTTGTATTGATGGCTGTCCTCATAAAATGTCATCGTAATCCAGGAGCTTGGAGTGCTGGCGTGTCTTCCAGAGGCGATAGAGGCGGAAGTCAAAGTACGTCTCGATCATTTGCTTCCCTGGAAGCAGAAGGGAGAGGAGGCCACGTCAAAGCCGCGAAGCTTCAGAGGAGCAGAACCTGCAAAGCCACCTCCGTGCTGGGGCCTTTCAGAAGGCCGGCGGGGGAGAAGGGACCACAGAGCTGGAGTCTGGCAGTCCGTGACTCCCCGGCTCAGGCTGGTGGGACTGCTCTGTCCCCTGCGGTAAGGAGCACCATGGGTGAGATGGCGTAGACTGTGTGGTGTAGTGGTTAGAGCATTGGACCAGAATGGGGAACATCTGGTCTGAGTCCCCACCTGGCCATGAAGCTCACTGGCTGACTTTGCGCCATTCATGAACACTTAGCCTAGGTTACCTCACAGGGTGATTGTGAACATAAAAAGTGGAAGAAGAGGATTGTGTGGGACGGGTACACAAGAACCCTTCTGTGCCCAGATCCCACTGCAATTATGCCCAAGAGAAAGAAACGGAGATAAAAGCAGAATTTGCCCTTAGCATGCACCTGTCTCATTATCTCCTCACTTCTACTCATCCTATTATACAGACTTGAAAGACTGTTGACTCGGATTTTGATTCACGGAGACACTGTTGATGGAATTCTCAGTTGACGTGCCAAGTCAGTGGACCCGGAGATAATCCGGCGGTGGCTGAGAACGGGGCCGTTTCTGCCTCCTCTGTGGGAAAGTCTGGTGAACAAGCAGGGGTGGGGTGGGACAGGCCTTGCACCCGCAGCCCGATTGTGCGGCGTCGGGTTAAGAGGCAGACCGAGAAGAGGCAGAAGCGCCCATAAATGGTGCAACCCACGCTGAAGGTGGGTCACCTCCTGCTGGCTTGGAAGGGGGAAGCGGGGTCTGAGACTGTATCATTCGCATCATTAAGCTGCAACTCCCTAATGGCAGGTATTCTAACTCGATACCCTTTGTCTGCACTACAAAGCCGCCCCGGCGTGTCAACCTTGACATAATGCCGTCTTTTAGTTCAAAAGACTTTTGTCCTTCTCTGCTCAGGAGCAGCCACGACAAAAGCTGGGGCAAATTTCGCACTGGAAGCTCCTTGAGGCTCCCTGGGTGAGGTGGAGATGGGCAAGCAAGCCAGGCTTGCGCTCCCCCAAGTTCTCCACCCATTTGCAAGCGCTGCTTTCCATGGCTGGGTGGAAGTCTGTGCCCGTTTTCACGAGCATCCCCTGGAGGCTGTGAGACACTCCAACCTCTCGCCGGGCCAGCTGGCAAGAGAGCCCAAGGAAAGCAACCCTCCTGCAGCTCAGGGTTCGCAGAGCCACCGCTGCTTCTGAGCGGAGATGGACTCAGGCCGGATGATATCTGGAAGAAGAGGCCCTGCCGCTCCGCAGGAGGCTTGGCCACCCTTTCCACAGCCCTGCGCAAAGGCCGACGGACCTGAGCTTGCGGCTGCCAAGAGATCCGTTGCAAGGCAAATGCTCCCAAGCCCTGGGGAGCATCAGCGGTTGCGACAGCCCCCCTCCCCCACCCCCGGTAGGGAGGCCACGCAATGGAAACTGGCCTTTGGACACCCGGGTGAAGCATTTACCTTGAGCGGAGAGTTCGAGAGGCGATTCAAAGGTAACCCGGCAGGGGCTCATTAGATTCCTCAGGTTCTGGAACAGCTGCAAAGCAAAGGTGACCTGTTGTCACTGGTTTGTTAGTTCCCTGGGAACAGCTGATGGGCAGCACATGCAACGGGGCCGGGGAAGGCCTCCTCTGGCCGCAGCGTCAGACCAGGCAGGGCAGAGGGGACGGGAGCCCTGGCGCCACCCTGGTGGCGGAGGGACGACTCCTGAAAGACGGAGGATTCCCCGATGAGCGGTGCCAGGGAGCGTCTCACACCTGGTGGGAGCCAGGTGAGCAAGGGGTCCTTCACAGCTGGGGAAGGAACCCGGGGCCACGGCATGGAAGCCAGCAGTGTTGGCTTCGCAGTCCCCGTGCAGAGCGTCACGGCGGTGAGGAGTGCTGAGCGGCAGCCTCTGAATGGCCAAGGTTGTCCTGAGAGGGACTCAGGTGAGGGCATGGGAAGTGAACTGCCCTTGAGCCGCAGGGAGGGGGACCCCATCAGGAGCCGTCAGCCCGGAGAGTGGGCCAGTCTGGGGCCATCTGCCTCTCCTGCCTGGGGGTGGAGTCAGGCCCTTTCCGGAAAGGAGGGGGAGGTTCCCGTGTGGCTCCTCTCTTCGCATGGGCAGGCACTATGTCCACCTGTCAAAGGAATTGTCACTCTGCTCCTTGCTGGCTGTAAGCCTGTGGAGCTCAGTAAAGGAAGCTGCTGGCTTCTCGATTCTGTCGAAGTCCGCTGGAGAGGGAGAGTGCAGGAGAGACTTCCACCAAGACTCCCTCCCTCCTGCAGTGGAGGCCCCTTGGGGGAAGGAGCAGCAGGCAGGAAGCAAGCGTTTCCGGGGTTGGCCGCGGCTGGGGTGGGGTGGGAGCACATGCTTCCCGTGCAGAAGGTCTGAGCGTGAGAAAGGGAGGGGGCCAGTTTCTCCAAGAGACACGGTGGCTGGCAGGACTCACTCACCTTCTCTCCGTTGTGGTTCCCCAGGACGTAGCACCCCATGATGTGAATGACATTTGGCTCCGGGTTCAGCTTGCTCATCAGATGGCCCAGCCGTTTCCAGAAACTGCGAAGCACAGCAAAATAACTCTTTAGCTGCACTTCAATGCTCAAGCTGCCCAGCCAGAGTGATTTCCACATGTCACACTGCCAGCATGTGCTGAAAAGCTCATGAGCCCCGTAGAAAGAAGGGCGTTTCCCTAACACTGGGATCTTGGCGGATGCTGACGCACGACTCTTCCCTTGGCTACTGGAAAGCTCCCTGCCTCTCCTGAATTTCTTATCTTTACCTCAAGGTTATTTTAAACATTAAAGCTTAAAAAAGACAGGTTCCAAAGAGTGGCTTTCTGTCTTGTTGCTCAGACACCAGCTCTGGCTTGGGGCTTCAGATTCCTGCGCAAGTGACTTTTGTTTTAGTCTCACCAGTTTGCCTTCTGGGAAAGGAGTGTTTTGTGATTAGCTCTGTCCTCCGTGGCAGCCATTTTGTGAGAGTGCTCGTGACACTCACCCAAAATTCCAAAGGTGCCTATTACCTCAAGAAATTTGGGGATCCCTGCCTAATTCAGCTCAATAGCAAAGTAATGATAAAGTACCTTGCAACATCTTAAAAACATCATTAGCACTGAAAGCTGACATACTCGGAATAAGCCAATATGGTGGTGACGCAACGTGTGTGGAAGAGCACTTGAAAAACAAACGAGTTATTTCCAGCAATACATCCAGTTGCTAGTACAGCTGCTCAGCTGTGTGGTCTTTGGAGTTCTCTGGATGCGCCCAATCTGGACTGGATTTCAAACCCAGAGAAGACACACAATCCGGGCTGCCAAATGAGAAACACACCAGGCAAGCGCAAAGCCCTTCCACACACGGGATGCCGGAACTGCACACTCACTAGATCATGTCTTCCTCCTTCTCCACTTTCGCAAAGGTGGCAACTTTATTCTTCAAAAGGTACAGGTGGCCGGGACCACCCTAGAGGAGGGAAAGAAAAACCATTTGCAGGAAACCGTCTGGTGTGTCCCATCTTTCAGGGAACGATCGCACCTCCTTTCCAATTTCATTAGTACTTAAAATTTGGCACAAACTGCAGTCCATCTTTGTGAGGAGAGTCCACTTTGCGCCACCCAAAATTCTCAGGCAGCTACAACAGCTGGAACGAGGAGAATTGTAAACTAGCGCATCTCGGGAGCAATATACCGGGGAAGGCTCGTTTATATTTATAAACCCCTCCATTAAAGCACAGGGCAGGCATTTCGGCAAAGCTTGACAGCCAGAGCACAACGTTGTTATTTGCTTTTGCTTCTAAGCACCGCAGCCAAGCCGGTTCCAAAGAAACACTCAGCACCTCTCAAGCCCATTCTAGTCTCCTCCGGATCTTTTGGACTTCAGTTCCCTTCAGCCCCAGCCAGGTGGGCCACTGGGAGGAATACGAGGGGCTGGTGGTCCAGAACATCTGGAATGAACCAGGGTAGGGAAGGCAACTCTGCAGGGTCGGTCTGTTGGCACTTCTTCCCAGCAACCAGCAACCCTTCTGAGGTTTCCCACCTTTTGCGTGGTTTTCCTCCATTCTAAAAAGTTGAAACTTCTCTCCTATGGTTCAGATCCTGGCAGTAAGAGTTTTAAGCCACAACAGGCTGCTATTTTGGGGGGGGGGGTTGGATCCTGCCTATCATTAGGATGCAGCTTCCAAGGGCTGCTCTGAAATGGGATTGGGCCTTCAGTCACCCATAAGTTGAAGAGATAAGAAAGATCAAATAATCTAGGAACAGAACATATTTTCTAAGCTTCTGGGTGGTAAAGCAGCAGCACCACAAACGCAGCCCAGACCGAGAAGAGGGCAGAGCGCAGCAAAGCTTTTCTCTGAAATCAGAGATGAGGCGGGAGGACGGCTTCCATGATGAAGTGCCGCTCTCTCGGTGGGGGAGGGCATCCTCAGGGGCCCCAGGAAGCCAAAGCAGGTGCAGCTACTGTGAGAATGTGGAGAACGGAGCCCCTTTCGAGGGCATGCATCACGTACCTGACAGAAAATGAGCATTTTCCACATTTTGCAGCCCTTCCGATAGATGTTCAGCTTCTTCTCGATCTCCTCTGTGGAGGACAAGGAGACAGGTGAGAGCCGAGTGGGGCAGGAAGAGGGTCATCCACCCTGGTGAGGAGGTCTTGGAGTGTGGCAGGGAAGTTCCTCGCTCGATGGAGAAGTAGGGCTGGATCTGGCCCATGTGAGGCAGGCTTTGGCGGATGGGGAGAGGGGTGTCTGGCGGAGCTGTGAGGCCAGAAAAGGACCTGGCAGCTCCATGCTGGATGGAGAACATGAGATGCCCACAAAATCCTGGAGTCATGAAGCCATGAAGATGGCCTCCCCCCGACCCTGGGACTCTCCAGATGCTTTGGACTACAAAACCCACCAACCCAGCCAGCATGGGCAATGGTATGTGATGGGAGCAGCAGTGGCTCCCCCATGTGTGGCAGAGGGGGCTGAGGCCTGTCCTTTTAATTAGCTTTTAAAAAATGCTACACCTTTGTAAGGTCTGTTTTTAATATTTTACCGGGCTTTTTCCCGATTATAGTTATTTATTTTGTCTGTCTGTCTGTTTGTTTAAAGCTTTTCTTTCCCGCCCTTCACAATGTCTCAGGGTGGTAATACGATACAATTAATAAATAAGATATAGCATCCAGATAATAAGATATAAAATCAAGCTTAAACACTATTAAGATTTAAAATAATGGGAAAAAGAAAAGGTTTTGGCCCGGTGCTGAAATGAAAAAAGCATTGGCACTAGGCACCCCTCCAGGGGAGCCCATTCCATAGCTGGGGTACACCCACAAAGAAGGCTCTTCCCCGGGTAGCCACTCTCCTGACCTCCTTCAAAGGGGGCTCCCAAAGAAGGACCCCCGCTCCAGATCTTAGCCAGCCAGGTATATATGGAAGGAGGTGCTCCTTCAGGTATCCAGCTGTTTAGGGCTTTACAGGACATCACTAGCACCTTCAACTGGGCCCGGACTTCAACTGAAGCCAGTGCTGACGGTGAAGGACCAGCGCAATACGGGAGTATCTGCCGGTCCCTGCTAGCGCCCTGGCTGCTCTGTTCTGAGCCAACTGAAGTATCCGGACCGTCTCCAAGGGCAGCCCCACGCAGAGCGCGCTACAATCCCTGAGGTATTTGCAACCTGCCTTGGTTGGCATGAGAAAGGCAGTACGGAAATACAACAAAGTGTAACAATAATGAGAAAGAAGGAGCAGGGGAAGAGGATGAACGTGGTGGGGATGGACGAGCAGAAGGGAGTCCAAAATCTGAGGAAGGCACCAGGCTGCGGAAGCACTCGGGGGGGGGCGGTGCCCACGCCGGGACCCCCCTTCCCTGGCCCCATGCCCTCCAGCCCTCCCGTGCCCCCGTCCAAAGGTCCACGCCTTCCACACACAGCCCGGCCTCGGTCCGTTCACCTTGTTTGCGCAACGCTCACGTACCGAGAATGTCATCGAAGGTGGCGTGCTCGTGGTCCTGAAAGTAAACAGAGAGGGAAAGCGAGATGATCCCAACTGTATCTGTCAACAGAGCTCAGGGACTCGCTGTGCTGGCCGGGAGACAAACAAGACCTTCTCTGTATTCTTGCGAAGGAGCATGGAGCACCTTGGCAGGGCCGCTGCCACCCACGAGCCGACTTGCCACCAAAAGATCTCCTGCAGGTTTTGGGGAGCACTGCAAAAACCCTTGCGGCACTTACTACTGATTCAAGATACATAAAGAGCATTTATCATCATCGTTATCAATTTCAAATCTGCATAAAAACGAATACTTCTAGGCCAGGAAGGAAACGCTAGCAGAAGGACCAAATCGCAAGAAGACCAGCCACACTATTCCAAAAATTAAGCCATCGCTGTACGTGAACTGCTTGGAACTGCCTTCCCCAGCCAGGTGCCCGCCAGATGGGCTAGGACCACAGCACCTATTAATTCCCCACCTGGAGGGTGTCGAGTAAGGTAGGCCTGGCTTAGAGACATCATCCTATTGGGAGGGACAGGAGCACGAACTCTGGTCATGGACCAATCTTCCAACCACAGTCTACCTATGGATTCTACGCATGGCTGCCCCACGTGGACAGCCCTCGGAGTGGGACAGTGTGAACGGGTGTCCGGCAACAGGAGCGGGTTAGACCTGAAGGCCTTCATGGCCGCTTCCAACTCCACCACATGTATGTTTGTGCGCACAGTGTTTTGTGGGCCTGTGCTTGGCAGCCTGCTAAAGAATCATTTGAAACGCACTGGTGAATCATTTATGAAATACATCGAAAGCAAAGTTACGTACTAGCAAAGTTGTGACGATCATGAACGCCTTCCTCGTCGTAACAACTGATTGCCACAGACCTTTGTTTTGAATGTTTTGCTGTATTTTATTGTTTTTAATGTGTTATGGTTTTTACTGTGTTTTTATCTCGGGTTGTGAGCCGTGGGAAAGGTCTCTGCCTAGAACAACCTTGGGGGCCGCTTGGATTGCCAGCACGGGCCGCGGTCGCTGTGCCGCGGCTTACAGATGCCCATCCGGCAAAGGCAGGAGCCTGCTCCTCGGCGCCCTGCCCTGGGGAATAATCCCTCTTTGGGGCATCCCAGAGCGCAACACTGGTGTGCTCAGGCATTTCCTGCGGTTGCGTCCATTTGCTCTGGCCTTCTCCTGGCCGCCATGAGCCACCTTTGAACCAACCTTTTGGTATGTGTGTGTTTAATTCTTTTGGAAACGGATTTGGGATTTATTTGTTCCAGTGAGAGGTGGCCCGTAACAGTCACATATAAATAAATGTGCAAGCAGAATGAGCTCAGCTACAAACCCAGAAGCACAGGAATGACTGCTTCCGGCAGGTGCAGCAAAAGGTTACGGCCAACCCCTTGCAGAGCAGCGGAAGGAGACCTAGACAAGCACAACGCGAGAACTCCCTGCAGGATATAAACATTCATGCGCAGATTTTCAGGGCATGGCTGTAAACGTGACTCTGCGTCCAGGCGGCTGCAAACTACCCACACTATGAAAAGGGAATCCAGAGAAGAGGCTCCCGTGCCTCATACCACTCCCGACCCCGGCAGCTTGGAGGCACAAGGCTCGCCACGGCAGGTCTCCAAGTGGACTTACGTAAAGAATGGGGATGATGGATGGGTCGTCCCTGCGGATGATGGTTGGAACGTACTCGGCTTTGGGTACCTTGGAGGAAATGAGCTGCAAGAGAAGGAAGGAAGGACGGGATCAGAACATTTACAAAGAGTGCAAGACGTGTGGAGAGTCAGCCCTGGCGGCCTGGCCCAGCCCTCCTGGTCTCTCGGGTCCCGTCCCCACTTTCCCTCGTCCCCTGAACCAGCTCACGCGGGGGCTTCCACGCTCGAGGGCGCATTTCTCCCCATTCTAGAAACCAAAATGGCTGCCCCATTTATCTATCATATTTAAATCCCATCTTTTTTCCTTCCAAGGAAGCCAAGGAGGCTTACCTGGTCCTCCACCTGTACATTCCACGATCACAACCACCACCGGGCTGCGTTGTTAGCGAGCCCCAGGAGTGAACAGGGATCAGACCCTGGCACTGCCAGACCGAGCCCTCTCACTCCCAGCCACACCAGCTCTGACCGGCAGCTTCTTTGGCTCAAAGAGGCTGCCAAGTTCACCCTTCTGGCTTCCGTCCTGTCCACCACCCTTGCTGCGGCTCCCGAGAGCTTCTCCGGGATGGAGTGAAAGATGTCCAGTACCCCTTCGCCCCAGCCAGGTCTTGCGCTGCCCAGTGCGCGGCTCACCATGATCTTGGGGGGGACGAAATCGTCCCCACGGCAAGCCGCAGCTTCCAGCTCCTTCTCCGCTTCCCAGTTCAAGTCCACGCCCTTGTCCGGTGCACAGCAGGAATCCTGGAGCTCGTGGCCTGTGGAGGGGCAGAGGGAGGGCGGCATTGGCTGGGCCCCTGCACAACTGCACAGGGACGTGTGCGCACACGCATCCCGACGAGCCCTGGTCACGCCGAGAGCCACACGCTCCTCTGTGTGTGATGAACAATGGGTCAGGGGTCATCCACGGATCAGGGTGCAAAAGACCAGGCCAGGAAAGGAATCTGTGGGGACAGTCCAGCCCTCCAGGCTTCTGCCCCCTTCCCCAGGGCTGTTTTTGTTCTGCTTCCCCCTCCCCTTTCTAAAAGGCCAAAATGCTTCTCTCCTAGGGCCCAATCCCTGGGAAGAAGGGCTTTAAGCTGCCAGTTGCAACCAGTTCCCATATGCCCCTTTTGCTTGATTCTGCCCACCCCGGAACGTGGCCCTGGGGGGGGCACCACAAAATGGAATCTGGCCCTTGGGTTTTGAGAGAGATAATCCAGGATAAGGCCTTGCGGAAGCCTGCCCTTGCCCCGAAAGGGCGCCCCCAAAGGCTCGCTGCTGTGCGGAGAAGACCCCAGCTCCCAATCAACTCAGCTTCAGAGCAGGGCAAGCTGCACTTCCGGACGTGCGCTGAGAAACTGCAATTCAGCCGCAATGCTAGGCAAGCTCCGCCAGATCAAAACCCTGCAGGTCCCTGTATAGCCCAGCCTGGGATACACCTAGGATGGCAGCTTGGCTTACCTGGCCCTTGCTTCCCACAGCCTCCACAGGCGGCTTTCTGTTTGGGTGGGAGCTTGACCTCCACTTCCTTAGAAAAGGTATTTCCCTAATTCCCAGCTCAGTCCGGCTGTTACCCCCGGACTCCAGAAACATCTAACACATACACATACATGCGCACACCGAAGGAGAGAGAGGAGGGTGTCTGCCCTCATGGCCCCCGTGGAAGTATCCGCTCCACAGGGCACTGTGCTATACTGGTGCAGAACCTCAGAGCCAGGGGTCCGACACAGCCCTCCTGGGCCTCCCGTTTGACCCCAGCTGGCCATCCCATTCCCTCGGCCTCACGCCTTTCCACTGAACCCACAATCGCTTGGAGGCTCCCCAGTTCTTGCGCTGTTGAAACGGCTCTCCTAAGGATTGGTGCCAGACCAGAAGAGCTTGACTGAAGGAAGTGGGTGGTTGTGGCCCCGCCCCTCCAGCCTTCGGCCCCTCCCACCCAAGTACGCGGACCCCAAGAGCTCTTCTGAAGTGGAATTCGGTCCTCGGGCGGAAGGGGGTTCAACACCCCGATGTAGCCGGTGGCAGCGTCTAACAGGGGTGGGGGGATCTTCTAATGATCTACCCTTTCACTGGAGATCCAGGGATCGAGCCCTTCCACCTGCAAAGCACTCTTCCCAGGGGGCATCCTGGACAACGGAACAACAACACACTTGCAAGCCAACAGCAGGGGGACCCCCCCCCCACATCACAGGACACAGTGCAGTGGACTTTTTGCCTCACTCATCAGAAGCAGCGAGCAGAGTGACTGACTCCCACACAAAATGCACAGCACAGGGCCTTGGCTAACCAAAACCGGAGAAACACAGAAGCAGAGTGAGGCAGAAGGGGGTCCCGGGCCATCTAATCTGACCCACTAGCTCCAGCCGGCTCCGCTCATGTAAACCCCACCATGTGGATAGAAAACGACAGTGGTGTTTGCAGACCAGACAAACTGCTTATCCAAGCAAGCAACAAGCTCCATGTCCAAACAGTCGCTTCCGGTTTGGGGGTGGGAGGGGGTCAAGGACACAAAAGGAACGTACTTTCTCGGGAATCATTGAGGTTTTCGGGCTTAACGGGAGTGGGGTCGCTCCAGGACCGGCTGAAGCTCCTCTCTCGCCGATCGGCAAAGGCTAAAAAATTAAATAATAGTTGGAATAAGGGACTAATTATTATAGGCTTCATGACCAGCAAACACACAAACCCCTGGCTCATAGCTCACGTGCTTAACCACTCCATCACAGGTGCAAAAAAGAAGGCTTGGTCTTTTTTAGGTGAGTTGGGCAAGGTGGGAAAGTTAAGGCCAACGCAAGCTCTCTTTCGAGTTTCTCCGCAGGAAAGTTTTCCAAAGCAGGGTCATCACAAATATTTTTGATTCGAACTCCCCTTGGCCCTGACTGTTAGCCTTTGCTGGCTGAGGCAGATGGGAGCTGTAGCTGCAGTTATCTGGAGGGGATCCAGGCTTGGTAAGGCTGGTCTGGGGAGATCCAGGCTCAAGGACATGGGTGAGAAGAGCACCTCCAAAGACCACCTCGGTCCCAACTCACTCTGTGCCTTCATGCGGCGGCTCCCGACCATGCGCAGGTGCTTCCTGAAATTCCTGAAAAATGACAACAAAGAAACAAGAAAGGACATCAGGGTTGGTTCTCCTTTCTCTTTTCCAGGCTTATGCTTGGCCCTTTTCTAGCCCGGCGAGTCTTAGGCAGAGCTGAACCCAAATTCTGCAATTGTTTTCAAGTCAGCCTGAATATTCGCAAGCGTTTTTGGACCTGTTCTTCCTAACACGTGGATTTCTGGATGCTTTTTTGCCTCGAGTACCATTTTTGCAAGCAATTTCATGCTTGGAACGCATGTTTGAAAGGCATTTCCTCAGACATACACAGAGCCACGCAGCCCTGCCTCATCCCGCACTTCACAGGGCGCCCAGGTGGGCTACACCCACGCTCACGCCGCTGGGCTGGGCTGGGCTTTGTCCGCAGGCTCACGCTGGCAGGCCCCGCTAGGGGTCCCCGGTGCCACACACATCTGTGCGTGTCCCGCCCGTGACGCTGTTCTTTGGCAGAAGGCGAAGTCCAGTTCCACGATGCCATTTCGAGACGGCTTTTGCTGAGGCCCAGTGTGGCCATGGGGCCTGCAATGAGAGGCCGGCATGTGGGGCTGGGGAGACAGAGACTTCTGCATTCTTTTCCCTCCTGGTGTTTTTCTCCTAAAATTCACACCCCCTTGCGGTAACATCTGAAGGCAATCTAAGTCACCCCTTGAATGAGGGAACTTCCATCCAACATAATTTCAAGGGTCAATATTGGCTGGGATCGGACCCAGAATCGAGGGTGGAGGAAGGGACGAATGTGGATCTCGAAACGTGGGTTATTCTCCTGACTGATCACAGTTGCACTAGAAAAAGCCTGTTGCTTTTAACCATGAACTTCTCAAAGCCACAACCCAACAACAAACTACGGGTTCTTTTCACAGGTTGTCCACGGTTAACAAATCATAGTTTGTAAGTGCGGCTGGGTTCAGACAACACATTCACCCATGGTTCAATGCCATCCCCAACTCAACAAGTCCAGATGCTCAGGGCCATGGCCCAGTGCTAAGCAAGCGCTCTCCTCAGGTGCCTGGTTTGGAAGTAAACGGTTGAGTTTGCAAGGGGGAGTCTGCAAGAAAACATTGGACAGGCGCCTACCACACAATTTCCACATTTTCGTTTCCATTTTGCGCCTACTTGGGTGCTGAATATTCATTGGGCTGGTTTTCAGAGAGGACACCCCCTCATTTTTTAATACAGGATTCCACAACCCCAACTTCCCCTGAGCAGGGAACTTTCCCCTCAAAACCTTTTAGCAGCATGAAACTTTTCTCAGCAACCATAATTGTGTTCCACTCTCGTTGGCAGCCGCCATCCTAGGCCGCTATTCAAAGGGGAGATTTGTGGGTCTTCACTGGCACAGGGATGGGGAGGAGAGTCTTAGATTTTCTGTCTCTGGAACAAAACACGTCTAAAGAAGGGCTTGGAGAAGAACCCCAAAGGAAGTCAAGGGAGTGCTTGTCCTGCCTCATTTCCTACCGCTTCACAATTCAGGGCCTTCCTCAGCATGGAGGGGAGGCAGGAGAATTTTCGGCCACTCGGGCAGAAATCTGCACACTTCCAGTGGGGGTTGTAACACATTCCACCACCCCAAACACAGCAAGCCCAACTCCCCCAGGGTGTGGGTGGCAGATTATGAGAAACGACTGAAAGGCAGAGGCTTGTTGTAACTAGTTTTGCCGGGAGGCATTCTGGACTCGGGAAAACCTTGTGCCATATCCGACCCCCTGTGGCTGTGCCCCCAAATCCCACAAAGATGCACAAGTCCGACACTCACACTGTGAGACAACAGAGATAGATGCATGTACAAAGGGTCCGTTAAAGAAATGAATTAACAAAACTCTACCGCCAGGTACAAATCTTCTGGTTATCAGGAAGCAGAACAGCAGTCTTCCACTGAGTAAGTCGCTCACTAACATGAGAAAGCATGAATCGGAGGGGTGCCCAAGGTTTCGCTCGTCCTAGGAACGTGTCTGGGTGTTCAAACTAGGGGACAATCACTGCACTATTTTCTACGGAAAGGTCAACAGGAGAAATAGGGAATTGTTCATTGCGTTTTAGAGGTCTAAGAACTTGTAATGCTGGCTTGTACCTTAATATTGTTAGCCGCTGAGAGAGTCCCATTGGGCTATTGAGCGGCATATAAATGTGAAAACAAATAATAAATAAATAAGAAGTGCCCAGGCCTGAATCAATAACAGCCAATGAGAAATTTTCAGCATTTGATTGCTCCAAAGGAGAAAAATCAAACATCATGTTTGATACCTAAATAAAAGCTTCACATTCAGAGCCAGTACCAGATCCCAGGGGCTCCCGCAAACAGGTGATCAAGCCCCCGATCCGGCCTGATCACCCGAGAAATGTTCATTTTACATTGCTTCTTAGCCAGCGCCCAGTGAGATGCAGACTCAGAAGGATCCCAAAAGCTTCTCGGGAGTCCCCAGTGTTTTTAGGGAGCCCGTGTGAGAACGTCAGGGGTGCTTTCACAAGATGGCCACCACGGAAGCGGCCATGGGAGCGGGTGGCTTGCCCCCTCATTAAATGGTCGCTGTGGAGACACAGCCCACGGCAAAATTGCAGTTTCCAAAAGGGAAACGGGGGAGACTGAAAGAAAAGTCCAGGTCCACAGAAGAAGCGGAAGGCCTGAGCTGCAAGAGAAATGAACCAACCCTTCTGTTTCCCAGGGCAGTACTTTGCTAGCCTCGTTTTCTTTTCAAGTTTCACTTCTCAGAAACCTTAAGAAATGCAGTAAGAATCAGGGGGAGCCAGGTGTCCGGCAGGCGCAAAGTGAGGTTTTAAGAGGAGAGACATCCACACACTGGGGACCCCAGACTGAGAGCAAAAATTGATCTGGGCAAACTGATCCTCAGGCAATTGTGGCTCAACTTTCCGCATAAAGGGCGTATTCTAACTTCTCTCTTTCTCTCTCTGTCCCAATTTATTGGCCGTGTGGAGCGGGGGCACATGTGGCTTCTTTTCTCTGGAGTTTTTTTGGTGGGAGAAGCCGAATTCCGCCTTTCTCGATGAGCCGCATGTTGGCATTTGCACCGGGGTGGGGGGGCGGGGGACAGACAGAAGCGGCGACACAGTTCCTCCGGCCCCGTTGGCGCATGCAAGGGCCCCCGATTCCTTTCCCTTCCAGAAACAAGAGCCCTCGGGGGCCATTAGTGCTTCCCAACCTCCAGAGGGGGTTGCACAGGGTGGATTTAAAGCATCCAAGCACAACGAACAGATTTCACTCACAGAGAGGACACCGTGTGCGAGAAAGAGGCCAGAGGGCAGCGCAAGGCCATGCAAAGCCGGGACCCTGAGATGCAGCCCCTCAGAGGGCCCTGGCACGCAGCGCCGAATGCCCGGTTAGGCCAGGCCAGGGTGCCCCCATGTGGATCCGGGAGGCCCAGCGTGCGACACGGGCGGTGCTCTGGGTGGAACAGGGCAAGGCAGAGAGCCGCACAGACAAGCGGCTCGCCCCAAATCTCCTTTCCATCCACCACAGAGACGCATTTCTCGCCATATCCTTTTGTGACATGCCAAAACGGCAGAGCGGTGCGAGGTCGTACTGACAATCATGGCGGGCCCAAAATTTACAGCCACCAGGTAGCTCAGGCGAGAGAGAAAAGAGGTGGGTGGAAACACAGAATGCTTCTGCTCTGGCCCTTTTAAAAAGCCTGCCTCTCAAAGTAACCTGAAAAGCCAACCTGAAGGAAAAGGGGGGGGGGGGTGTTATTCCCACTTACTGCCCAGTTCCTTCTCTACTAGTTTCCCTCCTCCTTCAAAGCCTTTTTGCGCAAGGTCCTGTGGTCTAGGAACATGAAAGGCCTTTCAATTTCTTCAGACACACTCACAAGCCACTGCCATGCCCAGTTTCTCAGCCAGTCTGAAGCAGGGGTCTCTTTGCAGCAAAAGCCCAAACTTGAAGACCTAAGCAGCCAGGGATCCCCTGCCCTGCCCTGCCCTGCCCTGCCCTGCCCTGCCCTGCCCTGCCCTGCCCTACAAGCCGAACGGGACAGAATGCCAAAGCCACCGTTTGCTGGCCGAGAGCTTGTCCCTCGTGGCCAAGGAGATGAGCAGGGCAGCCTTGCACTGCAGGCCATGGACAGCAGCGCTCGCCCCAAGCGCGGACCTGCCGCCGAGCACGCACACAGCCCGGGGTGCGGAGTCTGCGAGAGAGGAGGAAAAGGCCGAGCACTGCCAAGGGGGCGCGTGCCGAGACCAGGCGGCAGAGGCAGCCAAGCGACCCTCGCACGGCTACAGGAGACGGGCGCTGGACCCAACCCCTGGCCCGGGATGCTGCTGCCAAGCTGCACGAGGCGATGCCAAAAGCAGGCGGTCCTGGCTGAAGCCGCACGCAGCTGCACACCCCCCAAACCAGCGGGGCCGAGCAGGGAGCCACGGGCTGCCCCACAGTGGGCGGCCTCCAGAGGACGGCTGCCTTGCCTCGCCAGGCGCCGAGGCATCCAGCCTTTCCGACGGGGAGCCGAGGCCCAAGCTGGCGCCGTCGCACGCTTCTTGACGGGACATGACCTCTCCCTGCTTGGCAAAGTGAAGCCAGAGCCCGGGATTCTCCCCTTTACAAAGAGGCAGGTGAGGCCTTCGAGCAAGAAGCCCTCCTGCCCCTCGCCCACCTGCTCGCTCAGCAGGCTGAGCCCACGAACACGGAGGACGTGGCGCCTGCTGGCAGCTCTGGCATCTGGCCCAGAGCAAGGGGCAGGTGAACAAGCAGCTTGCAGAGGTGCAGAGGAGAAGCAAGCCGGGGGGCTCCAGCCCGCCAGCCTCTGCTGCGGCGTGGGATCTTGGCCATTATGCTGACGCTCCCTCAGCCAGCGCAGGGGCCTTTCACGCACCCTGGCCTGACCATCTGCAGCAGGGCAGCCAGAATCCTTGTGGTAAACCTGGTCTACCTTCTAGGGCTGCTGGAAGAACAGATGCGGTAAGGGATGCATCGAGGGTGGAGCACCTCGGGTGGCAGGTGTGATCCAACGATACCTGAAGGATGCTGCTCTCTCAGCTTGCTCACAGCACGACAGCCAACGCCAGTGCTCTTGCGCTCACTCTGATCCAGCAACACAACTGCTGCCCAAATGGGCCCTCTCGGGGTGGTCTGGCCCCGCTGCCTTCCAGTCACGGAGAAAGTCCCCTCAAGATCCTCCCCTTTTATTCTTACAAGTCAAACCTGCCCGGTGCTTCCCCCGTGATTTGAGTTCATTCAGATAACCAGGATTTGAATAAATTATTCTGTGGGGCCAAATTGGACCAGAGGAGCAGGCTGGCCTCAGACGAGGGACTTCTGTGTTCTTTTCACACCTGGATCTTGACAGGTGCAGGAGAATACACAAGTACCTTTGGGGAATGTTCCTTTGCCACTGCTCAAGAAGAGCAAGGAAAAATGTGGTGCAAAGACCTTAATATGTCTTTGGCCTTGGACTCCGGCCCAGTTTGCTTTTGGGAGCGGTCATGTCCCGAGAAGAAGGCCCCAGCCGCCGACTGCACGCCCTTTGAATTGAGTTCTCCACGACGGTTCCCGGCACGGAGGCAGCCAGGGCTGCACGAACGCGGCAGCGAGGCTTCGGAAGGCACCGCCAGCGCACCCACCTGCAGCTGGCCCAGGCAACAACACGGCAAGGACGCAACCCGTGCGAGGCAAAGGCGCCCTCGTACCTCTGAATCAGAGCTGCCGACTCATGTTCCTGCTTCCGCCTCTTCCTCTCTGCGTAGCCCCTGAATGCCCTGGGAAACCAGTTTCAAGGCATTAAAACCAAACTAGAACAGCTTCGAAAACTGGGGGTTACAAGCAGGAGAGAAAAACGACAGCAAGAGCACACACAGAGGACAGAAAAGGAGGGTGTGCCACTCCCGGGGTCCTCGGGGAGAGGAAGCGACGCAAGCCACAAAACGGACCACAAACGCGGCTGGAAGGGGCTGAATGAGAGAACAAGGATGCCAGGCACGTGTCGAACGCTGTTTGTGGGGGGGGGGCGTCAGAAGCCACAAGGGGGCATGTCACAAGAGCAGAGGGGAGGAGAACCACGTCTTCTACGGATGTCGTAGCTGCAGACCACGTTGTCTTCTCTTTTCCCCTGGCTACACACCACTTCATGGAATTCACAGTAACAGAAAAATTGTGTGTGTGTGGGACAATTGGCACACCTACGCTGCCATCACAAAAACTTCTGGAAAGGGGAGAAATGGAGAGGAAATATTGAGGTGAACACAGGTTTTGGCTAGACATGAGGGGAAACGTCCGAATGGCAAGAGCCATTGGGCAAACGAAGAGACTGCTTCCGAGGTAACAGATTTTCATCAGTTGGAGGCATGTAGGCAAGACTGGAGGGCCACCTCTCAAGAAGGATGTAGCCGCATCATGCACAGCAAATCCTGCCTTGAGTAGGGAGTTGGATGACCTCCAGTGGTGCTTTCAAATCTACAATTTTATGGTTGTTTAAAATAGAACAGATCAGCAATAGAAAAGAAAGAAGCAAGCTTCAGAATTTGGGAGATATAAGGGATCTTCACTTAATGTAATGCCCAACAAGTTTCAGTGAAAACCTCCTTCAGGGCACAAGATTTCAATGTGCACCAGTGTTTTCCTCTGCCCTCCCTATCCCTTCTTCCTTGCATGCCATAACTTTTTAGAGAGTTCTTGTTGCTTGCTGGCTTGGTTCAGTCTTCAGGCCGCTGAGCTCTGCTGCGAGACAAGCCCAAGAGTACACAGGCAGTAGGAAAGGAAATGGGGTATATTCCTGACATTACAGCCATCCAGATTCAAGAGCTGGTGCACAGAATGTGGCTGGGTTGCTTTTATTCCTTTTCATGTAGCCAGATATAGGCAAACGTAGCAGGAAACTGTGGGACCTCACCCAAAGGGGCCAACAAATACTCAGTAAAAGGGAAGGCAAGTCTCTGGGGGTAACAACATACTTACGAAATGCTGTCCATCCAAGCAAAAGCAAAGAGGCAGGGGGACAGAAAGAGAGCGAGAGAGAAAATATTAGCAATAAAGCCCTTTCAGACCAGACCTTTTTCTGCAGTAGGAAAGCACTTTGAAATTCTAAATTGAAAGGTAGGAAAAATTGGACACCAAAGATTCATTAAAAATCCCCCAAACTACATTTCGGAACCACAATGTTTCAAAGGTCTGCCCAAAGTAATTGCAGGAAGCAAAACCACCAGAGTCAGGGCCAGAGGTTAGTAAGGGAGGTGTGCTTAAAAAAAATGAGGGAATTAACACAAAACCTCTGGACAGACCAGGGTCCCAAAACGGTTTCACCTCACTGGGCACATCTGGAATTTTGAGAGATCACTTTGAGCACTCTCACAAAATGTTTTAATTAATAAATAAATAAATAAATAAATAAATAAATAAATAAATAAATAAAAAAAATGGCAGCACGAGGAGGGGGACTTGCCCGTCCCTAAAACGGCTGTGACGATAATGCAGTGGAAACGGCTGGGGCCGAAAGAAAATTTATTTGCTCAAGAACCAAAGCCCAAGGCATAAGAGGAGGCCTGAGTTCTAAAGCACAAAGACACTCCTTTGGGTCTAAACAAAGATGACGCTGCAGGGCAGGCGCAGGGGAAATGACTCATGAAGTGAACATGACTGGCTGAGTACAAACAAGAAAGGAGACTGGAGGGACAGAGGCCTGCGAGGAGCTGGGGGGGGCACCCCTCCTCCTGCCTCCCCTCCTTCCCCCACAACTTTTGGCTCGTTTTCCAGGCTGTTCCCCATTTTTAAGTGGCAGCTTTTAGCTGCTAGTTAAAGCAGGCCGGTATCGTTGGGATCCCCCAGAGCATCTCCAAAGTGGAAATCTGGCCCATGGGCTGGGAGAGGCTCAGCAGAACCCTGCACAGGGGCAGGTGATCTGAAGAAAGATTGCAGCTCCGGAGGAAGGGAAGCACAGATGGGGACGTGGCCAAACAGGCCGCCGTTCACGCTCACGCAACCCGCAGGGTCCCTTCACCCACACGCAGGCACACGGATGCACACCCACCGCTCCTTCTACTCACGCTTGCATAGCTGTGGTAGCTGTTTGGAAAGTGAAGAGGTTCTCCTTGGGAAACCAAGTCCTGATGGGAACGTCGTCTGGGAAGAGAACAGAGACATGAGCATCCCAGTGGGGAGCAGAGGTTGCAAACACGCGCTCCTGGGGAGGGAAGGGGGCGCGTCTTGTGACGCGTGGCTGGCTGCATGCAGAGCCAGAGGTCACAGGGTCACAGAAGAGCAGAGCTGGAAGGGGCCATGGAGGGCATCGAGTCCACCCCCTGCTGTTGCAGGACACCAGTTCACACCATTCCACTCAGGTGGCTGCCCAGTTTCTCCTTGAATGCCTCCAGTGTGGAAGTGCCCACCACCCCTCCGGGCAGCTGGTCCCACTGCCGTATTGCTCTGGCAGTGAGGAAGCTTTTCCTGATGCCCAGCCTGAATCTGGGTTGCCACAACTCAAATTGATTATTCCATGTCCTGTGCTCTGGCATCAGCAGGAAGAGATCCTGACCTTCCTCTTTGCGATAGCCTTAGAGGTACTTCTAGAGGCACAGAGGTCAAGTTATCATGTATGTATGTATTTAAAACTTTTATATCCTGTCCACTCCTGAGGTCTCACAATAAACAGGGTGGAGCACAGCATCCAAATTAATTGCCATACAATAAAACCCCACATTAAAATCACACTCAATACTCAAAATACTGGGAAAATCAAAAGATGTTGGCCCGGAGCTGAAAGAAATTAAATGTTGGTAGCAGGCAGACCTCTCTCGGGGCACGTTCCGTAACCAGGGCACCACTGCAGAGAAGGCCCTTCCAGGTAGCCACCCTCACAATCTCCTTCAAGGAGGGCTCCAGAAGAAGGACCCCCAACCCTGAGGCCATGTCCCCAGGGAGAACCCGGCCAGGCAGGCAGCAGGATGGCTCTGTCCCAACAAACCAAGCCCAGCAGTTCGCATCTCTGCCAGGTACGGGGGTTTTGCCAGGTACGGGGGTTTTGCCAAGGGAATGGGTCTTCATTGCCCATTCCAGATGGAGCCACCCCCGAATATCAGTGGCAAACGACTGATGGGAAAACCCATTCTCTCCCCAACTCGGGAGGAGGCCTGGAGCTCCAGCTCAGAGCAAAGCTGCAAGGCCGAGAACGACGGCAGGCGGGACCGGCAATCCTGCATCACGCCATGTTTCTGAAGGAGAAAGCAAGGACTTTCTTTGAAGCCCAGCCCTGAAGGTATTTATTTATTTTATGTATTTATTTATAAAATGTGTATGCCATCCAATTACTCGCGGCTCTGGACGGCTTACAGCATAGATAAACTGATGACCCACTCTGGCTGCAAGTTAATAAACTACAACAAGAACATTCAATATTAAAACACATTAAAATATTGATTAAATAAAAAGGTCTTAACCTGGCGCTGAAAAACATATAATGACGGCGCCAGGTGGACCTCTCTGGGGAGCGCATTCCATAGTCTGGGTGCCACCGCAGAGAAGGCCCTCCTCCGGGTACTCACCCTCCTAATGTCGTTCACAGAGGGTTCCCGGAGGAGGGCTTCTGCTGCCGATCTCAAGGTGCGGGAGGGCAAATATGGAAAAAGGTATTCCCTTAGGTATCCTGGTCCCAAGCTGTTTAGGGCTTTATAGGTAATAACCAGCACTTTGAATTGAGCCCGGACTTCGATGGGAAGCCAGTGAAGCTGGTAGAGGACTGGGGTTATGTGAGAGTAACGCCCAGTCCCCGTCAGCAACCTGGCTGCTCTATTTTGCACCATCTGAAGTATCTGGACTGTCTTCAAGGGCAGCCCCACGTAGAGCGCGTTGCAGAAATCCAACCGGGAAGTAACCAATGTGTGTGTTACTGCCGCTAGGCAGTCCTCCTCCAGGTAGGGACACAGCTGATACATTAGCCGAAGCTGCTCCTCAGCACCACTGTCACTTGGGCTTCCAAGGACAGCTCCTGGTAGGGAAATTCACAGTCACAAGACGCGGCAATGGCCTTCCAAAGGCTTTAAAAGCAGTTCAGACAAAGGTTTGGTGGAGGAGAGGAGGGCCATGAAGCATAATGCCGAAATGTCATTCAAAATTTTTAAGGTTAATTGTGTGAATGATTCTTTTTTGTAAGCCGCCCCGAGGCTTTTTGCGAATGGGGCGGCATAGAAATGTTTTAAATAAATAAATAATGGTCATATGTGAACCTCCCTGTTCAAGAGCAGAATATCTTTGCAGTGCTCTCTTAGTGAAAGGATCAGAACGCAGCCCATCTTGTCCAGCAGCCTCTTCCTACCATGGCCAAACAGCTGCCACGAGGAACACCCAAGCAAAGCACCCTCCAGCCCATGTTCCTCAGCTGCTGGAGTACACAGGCATACTGCTGAAGATGCTGGAGGTAGCCTATGGCCATCAGGACTGGCAGCCCGAGAGCCTCCTTTGGCAGGAATCAGTCCCACCCTTTTGGAAAGCCACCCAAAGGGGTCACCACTGTGCCACTGCCAGCCGGGGAATTCTGGGAACTGCCGGCCATCTGTCTGCCTAAGCCTCACGGGACGGCATGCTTATGGAATTAATTGCCATCAGCTGCTCTATGACCATTAGCACGGGTGCCACAGGGGGGGAAATTAGATCAGTTCACAGTGGCTAATCTACAGGCAGGTAATTACGCGGATAGCTGATTAGAATCTCTTTTTGCAGTGCGAGGCCACCCTCCAATTACCAGCTGCTAGGAACACACGGACGCGGTATCTTATTGCCAGCAAGGCATTTTTGGGGACACCTGCCTGTCCCCTCCCGAGACAGAACAGCGGCACCGGTCCGGTCCAGCGCAGCAGCCGCGCAGGCCACGCTCACCTGACACTCGGTCAATGCTGTACATCCTCTCCAGCTTCTTCCGGCGCCAGCTGGCCTCGCCAGCCTGGTGGTGGTGGTGGTGGTGGTGATGGTGGTGGTGGTGGTGGTCCGGGTCAAAGCCGTGCTGCGCGGGAGCAGCCAGCTGGGTGCAGCCAGGACACTCCTTGGAGACCTGCCGGCCGGCCGCCCAGCTGCTTTTGCAGTGCCTGCCGATGCTGTGGGAGCTGCCGGCGTTCTGCAGGGGCTTGCCCTGGGAGCACTCCTCCTCCTCCGCGTCCTCCTCCTCCTCCTCCTCAGCCTCGGCCCCCTTGATGACCACCAGCTCCATGCTCTCGCTTTGGTGCTGGGACAGCATGGGCCCCTCGCCGGAGATGGTATAGACGCGTGGCTTGGGGCCCTCTCCTGCCAGCTTCTCGCCACGCTCCTCCGAGAAGCTGCTCTCGAACTTGCCGTCGGAAATAAGCGACAGGCGCCGTTTGTTCTGGGCCGCCTGGTGCATCTCCGGGGAATCCTCCTGACCGACGTAAGATTCGGCCAGCAAGTGATCTGAAAGGAGGAGGCAGGGCGCTCGACAGTGTGAACAGACACACCGAAATTGGCGCTTCACAGTGCAAACAGCCCGACGCGCAAATTCACAGAAATCTGCATACAGACCTGGAAGGGATGAATCTGCCCATTTCAGTTTCTCTCTCCTCTCATTTTCTCAGTCTTAGGTTTGATTTACCCGACACTGAGATTTTGTGAAACTGTGCATGAAAATACGCTAAGCTTTTCTGGTGCGCATTTCTCCTAGTGGGAGAAATGCTATTTTGCTGACATTTTTGCCTAACACACTCTTGTTTCGGGCAAGCCATTTCAGTCATCGAATGCACCTTTGAATGTTATTGGCAAACCTCTGACTGGTGAAGTCCCTTGCAAAATTCAGGAAAGCGCAAATGGCGGAAAGTGACTGCTTTCTGGTTGCATATTGGTCTCATAGAGCAACAGTAGGCCAGTCCAAATTAAAATAAGAAATGGACGATGTTCTCCTCATCCCCAATTTCTTCTGATTGTTTACTGGAAATGCCCCAGAGAATAGAGAGCTTTTGCTAAAGAAAGGCCCGTGTTTTGGAAGTGTGAGCAGAGGAGGAGTCTGGCTTGCCACAATTACCACAAATCAGAGTGAAATTTTAATGCCAGCAGTATTACGAGCCTAAGCTTTTGGGAGAATTTTCTTTCAAATCAGTCAATGGTTTATAAATATCCCAGCAAATACACCTAGGAGGTCTAAAAGCTTAGAAGTACAAAGCAAAGCAAAGGCTCTCAGGCAGGAGAATTCTTAGCCTGATGCTACAGTCAATTCTTCCCACACTTCTGAAATAATTGCAGCGAAACCTATCTGTACATTATGCAAATCGTGCCCATGAGCCGGATATTCTGTTTCCGCGGACCACAGTTTACAGCACCTTCTCTGAAACACACGCACACAGTCCCCACATGGGACTTCTGGACTCCGCCATACCTGAACCATTTTTACCCTCCGGATGGTTTTGGGAGAGGTAATCTCCAAAAGGCCTCGCCGCTCTTCGGGTTGCCGGATGCGCAAAGGCGCAGGACAGCCGTGAGCAGAAGAGAAACAGGAGGGAAGGGGTAAGAAGGAAGAAAACAGGAACATTAGTGACATCTTTGGCAAAGCCCCAAAACACGTTGCCACCTGCCGTCTCTGCTCATGGAAAAGGAGTTTACGAGGGAAGGTTGGACACAGGAGAGCTGTGATGGGATTGCGCCCTGTTTTACTCTTTTGCCTTAAAGTCCACGCTTATGTTTCTTTCATTCTCTGCGGTTCAACAGCAACGTCTTTGGTGGTTTCATGTAAACATAAGTGGTGTCAGAACTCAATTTAGGTAGAAGTGGATTGAATAATTTTTCTTTAAAACGATAAAATGGTTTAAGTATCCATGCCACAAATATGAGGAAATTTCCCCCTCGGTCGCAGCAATGGGGGTCTTACCAAGCAAATTGGCGTGACAATTTCCCAAGCATATGCCTCTCTCCCCCTCGCTCTGCCTCCTTTAAACCAATGTTCCCAGGTCTATATTTTGGCTCTGCATAAAAGGATTTAGTAGGCACACGATCAATGGCTCCATTCCCGGAGGAGACAAAATGGAGAGATCCCAGCAGCAACCCGAGACCTTAGCACTTATCCCATCCGAGTCCATCACCATCACAAAGAACATGTTTTTTGTCTTTTCTGGCCTACATTCTTTGGAAACAATGGTCCTGAAATTTTAATATTTCAAACACTGAACGGCTTCACTAAAAGCCAGCCACCTCTCCTGCCTGCGGTGCGAGCCCTTTGCTAGCCAGCCCCCGCGGACACGCTGAAGGCCTGTTCGGCAACACTGAATGCAGAGCCTTGTTAAGAGCCACGGCTAGTCCTGGCCCCTGCCGGGACCCCCGCAGCAGGGGCCCTCCCACACAGCCCCCTTCTTCCACGGCGAACGGCTCCCTTCCTCGCCGCCTGCTCCAGCCGAGGTGGAAAAACAGAGGTTTATAGGGAACGCTGGGGCAGGGCAAGAGGATTCGGACCGCCATGGGTGCAAACAACGCCCCCTAGCTTTGTTAGAAGACCAGGCATGGACGAAGGGCAGAATGTTTGAAGGATGCTCCGTTAAGGGCCAGCGTGGCAGGGCACGGGCTAAGGACCCGGAGTCAAGATCTCTTCTTGCTGAGCTGCGACAACCCAGATTCTGGCTGGTCATCGTTGCCAGAGTAATGCAACAGGGGAACCGGTTGCCTGGAGAGGTGGTGGGCTCTCCCACACGAGAGACATTCAAGAAGAAACTGGGCAGCCCTCTGAGTGGGATGGTGTCGCAGGGTGTCCTGCAGCAGCAGCGGGTGGGCCTGGTGGCCCTCTCGGCCCCTCCCAGCTCCGCTCTTCTGCGATTCTATGAGCTGGTTCTCCTCCCGCCCTTCACAGGCCGCTTCCTCGCCTGCCTCAAAGCCGTGCCTGCCTGCTCCCTTGCTCTCTGTCTGCCGAGCAAGCCAGAGCGAGCCATTCTGAGGACCAGCGCAGTGGGGGCAGGGAGCGGAGGGAGGGGGCCCACGCAGGGCTTGCTCAGGGGCCCTCACGAAGCCACCAGGTGGGCTGGGGCCAAGGGACATCATGCGGCCCCTGCAGATGCCACCGAGCAGGCCCAGCTTTGCGAGGGCTGGAGCAGCTCTTGGGATGAAACAGCCACACCTGCAAGCAAGCTCAGGTGGGTGGGTCATGCCTGCTTCACCTGCCTGAAGCCACACCTGATGGCGCTGCTGGGCATGGGCTGCCACGGGGAACGCCCACAGTCCACCACGAGAAAGGTGTGCCTGCTCCACCGGGGGCTGTGGAGAGACGTCTGCTGGGAATTAATCCACAGGAAGCTCCCCAGAACAGGCAGCCTGGACATCACAGAAACAGAGACAGAGCGAGCCAGAAGGGGCCTCCTGGGCCATCTAGTCTGACCCCCGGCTCCAGCCGGCTCCGCTCATGACACGCCTACCAAGTGCATGTCCAGCCTGTCCTTGGGGCCTCAACCACTTCCCGTGGAAGCCCATTCCATACCCTAGGGGTCCTAACTGTCAGGAAGTGCTTCCTGGCATCCACCCTAAATCTTGGTTTCCTGAGCTTTGCTCCACTGGAACGTGTCCTGCCCTCCACTGCAGGGGAAAAACGGGCATGACCCACATCTGCGTGGCACCCCCTCAAGTTCCTGTACATCACTAACAGGTCCCCTCTGAGTCTCCTCTTCTCCAGGCGGAAAACATCCAGCTCCCTCAGTCTCTCCTCTTCTGGCTTCCCCTGCAAACCGGCCCCCATCCTAGTGACCCTTTGCTGCGCCAACTCCACCCTTGCTCTGTCCCTCCTGCAATGAGGGGCCCAGAACCAGAGGAACCCGGGCTCACAGGATGCCGTGCCAGGGCCTGTTTCCCAGCACAGATGCTGGCATCACCTGCTGCTCCACTCAGAGTTCCTTGTTCCCTCTGAGCTTAGCTGCAACTCTTGCAGCCACTGCAATTTAATTTAAACTGCAAAACCGTCTTGTTCCCTGTTGCAACCCTGAGCCTTTCGGGGCGCCTTGGTCTGGCGCAGACAATTAAAGGCCCTGTGCCTAACCAAAGACCTGCTCCGGTCCAATGCGAACACAGGTGGCTCCACGAAAGCACCTCCACTCCGGGATTCTTCCTGGGGTCTCGTGGCTTTCGGGGCTCTCATGGTGAGCTCCTGCATGCCCAAATGGTCCACGCAGCGGGCCTTTCACAGTGGGAAAGCCCCAGTGCCCAATTCAATTTCGGGGCACTCCTGCAGACCACACTGCAGCGCTGGGCAGAGCCAAAGGCAGCAGCGGCTCCAAAGACCCATCTGCCTACGCAGTTTAGCTTAAAACACTTACTACCAATTAATGAGGCGTCTGCAGCGGGGAAGAGAGCAAAAGCTGGAAAACTGGAAGCATGAGGCTCGCCACTCCTACCTTTGCCTGTAAAGGGTAACGTGTCGAGGGTTTTGCGGGTGCCGCTGCCATGTGGAGGGTGGTGCCACATGCCCAGTGCTAAGTCACTGCGAAGCCGCATTGTGCGTTTAACACTGACCTACATTGGAAAGATTGTTCAAAGTGTCAGAGAACAGAGGGCTGCAAACAGCTTGGAACAACCAGGGCAGTTTCATCGGTGGCCACTGGGATTATGCCTGGCATTGTGCGTGGCTAAATATTCTGTACCGGCCTTCCCATGGGCCCCCTTTTGCTTAAAAACAAACGAATCAACACAACATCACACATAAGATGACTGAGCTCAGCCAAAAGAGTTCCCGCCCTGACATCCGGTCAGAAATCCGGCCTGTTTCTCAGTCCTGCCTGAAGGGCTTACACAGGTTGGGATGTGGTTTTGTACTTGACCTTTATGCATCTCAGCAAAGTTTTTAGCATCTGCTGAGTGGGACTCCTGCCAGCTCCCACAATTTAAGGATAAACCCCAGCCACTGATGCTTGGAACGGGCACCTGTCAGATCCGGAGAGAAAAATACAGGTAAATATGGGGATGTGGCAAGAATGGCACAGGGGTAGCCAGGAGGACGAGGAGCACGAGGAGGAAGCAACACTTTTTAAAAATGCACCATTAAGAATTGCTCCAACATTTAGGTAGCAGCTGGCCGAACAGCTTATGTTGCATCACCAGTTTATAAAAGGAACAACAGAAAAGAACCAGTTCATGGAAAGCTGATGTGTAGCTTTTGCTAATTCAGGTTCGAAATATCAGCATCTACCAAATACTCAGGTCATAATTCTAGATGGAAACACCGGTGAGGAAGTCTGGGAACTGAATGCTCTTGGCAGCAGCAGAAGACGAAATGTATGTTGCAATCATGCAGCCCACAACCCTTCAATGTGAGGCGAACGCTACGGGTGCTGTGAGGCACTGAGGGCCTGGTTACTCGTTCCGATTGGCAGGTGCTTGAAGCAAGAACGAAAAGATTGGCTCAGCGGGGGTACAGCCTAAGGTTGGGGCGGCAGAGGTGGAGAGAAACCTGCAGAAATCGAACCTTCTCTTCTTGTATGAAGAAAGCTGCCAATTCGGTGAGAAAGAAGCAGCTTGGCGGAGACTTCCAGAGGCGAGGCGACACGGCAGCCCTCCCTGGGGCAGAAGGGACGCTACAGAGCGCCGGCAGAAAGCTCCGCCTCGCCTCGCCGCCCCAAGGGAAACCACGGTGGGGGCAACAGCGGCCGAGCGGGAAGGTGCAGGTGTGCAAAGCAGCCCATCAGGTTCCAGTAACTAAGTGATGGGGTTTAGCACAGGAGATGGGGTGTCCAACCGAGCAGGCACAAGATGCTGGAGGGCAAAACAAAGCCAGAGCTCAGCGAGAGAACTCCGTGGTCATGGCAGCCAAACCGTGGGGTGCCACCGGCATGCCTTCGCCTTCCGAAGGCCGCAGCGTTTCGCTCCATGCAATGCTAGCGAAGATGTCTGAACAAAAGCAAGACCCGGGACTTGGTGCTAGGGAAGAAGAAGGTCTGTGCCGGCCTTAGGAAACCAAGCCGTGAAAAGGGGCTGCTTGCCTCCACCAAGCCCATCCTCCACAACGCGGTTCCCATGAAAGGGTGAACCGACCCGCCAGCTGAGAGGCGTGCAGCCGAGGGCGCTGACTTGGGAGTGCTTAGAATGATGCTCAGTCAGGGAGTATTCAGCTCTGGGAATTATCATAGCAAAATTGATCCTAAATATTTTGAAGATTTCTTTTGAAAAGAAAAGATGTGCAAAGGCACGAGAAAGAGGTGCCTGAATGGCGTGGCAAGAACATGCAACCGTTCCCTGCTGCTTTTCAGAACGGTGCTGTGCTCATCCTTCAGGTGCCCCCAAAAGGGGCTACGCCCATGGGGGGGCTTACTCTCCATGACGATCCACCCCGAGGGCCCGGGCAGGGGCCTTCGCCGGGCTGGTCCTGCTCCTCGCAAAGGCATCCTGACTTCGACAGTCCTGCGCTGGACCCTCCATGGCCAGGCACTTAGATCCCGCTTCCCAATCACACTTTAAAGGGCCTGTTTCGCAAGAAG